TCCTAATATTTCGAAATTTATGTGCCCTTATCTACTCATAGTAAAATTCATACATTTAATGTTATTTTATCTTCTATGGACGATCCATTGCCGTGTTTTGAAAAGCATAAAATATCTGGAAGGAAAATGTAAGTATTTTAAAATCAGTGTTGATATCATTAAAATTTCTCAATTCAGAGCAATTTGTTCGTGTAAATAATAAGCGGAATGACAAAAAACTTGTAAGAAAATATGAAAATGTTGCAGAAGGAGATTAAGCGAAAAAAAATTAGTTTTAAAATTTCTTATATGAGGCAATTTAGAGAAGAAAGCATGAAACAGAACAAAATAAATAACGAAGAACATCCTTCAAACGACAATTCAATCTGTTATTAAAAACAAAACAAATAAAGTCAGCGAAAAATATAACATCGTGGCTCTGCAAAAACATGACTAAAATGCACTGAATAAAATAACTTTCGGTGTTGTGCTGGAGTATTAAATATATTCCTACAGAAAATGATTTCAGATATATTGTATAATTACTTTGTTTTCACAGCGAGAAGTCCAGTATTTTCCCATCTGAGTGTATCCCTTTACGGACTTACAACAATCAGAGCATTTAATGTTAAAAATAAATTTATATCAACTTTTAACGAATACCAGGATAAGCACACTGCAACGTGGTTCATTTACGTAGCATTGAATCGATGGAATTGCACCTATTGTCAAATTATATGTTTTCTAAATCTTATTGCCACTATTGTAGTTTTATGTATTACAATGCCTTCAAGTAAGTGAAAATATTGAAATTTCTATGTTATGCACACGAAATATATTCTATGTTACGTAATAATATATTTCTTATCTTTAGTTGATGCGGGAAGCAAAATTGGGCTTATAATAAATTATGAATTAATTTTAATTTTGTATTTTCAATGGTGTATTTATCATTTGTCTGAAACAGAGTATCAGGTAAGTTTTGTGGTTATCACTAAAGTTTCTCAATTCAGAGCACTTTCTTGGTGTAAATAATAAGCGTATTGACCAAAAAACTTGTAAGAAAATATGAAAATGTTGCAGAAGGAGATTAAGCGAAAAAAAATTAGTTTTAAAATTTCTTATATGAGGCAATTTAGAGAAGAAAGCATGAAACAGAACAAAATAAATAACGAAGAACATCCTTCAAACGACAATTCAATCTGTTATTAAAAACAAAACAAATAAAGTCAGCGAAAAATATAACATCGTGGCTCTGCAAAAACATGACTAAAATGCACTGAATAAAATAACTTTCGGTGTTGTGCTGGAGTATTAAATATATTCCTACAGAAAATGATTTCAGATATATTGTATAATTACTTTGTTTTCACAGCGAGAAGTCCAGTATTTTCCCATCTGAGTGTATCCCTTTACGGACTTACTCAAAATTCAGGAAAAACACCGAACTTTACCACAAAAATAGTGACCATTAACAACACTAAACATGAACATTTTTATCATGTTCGTGAATTGAACATTTACATCTATTTTGGATTGATATCAGCTATAATATTAACGGCAATTTCATCTGCCTCATTATTATACGAACTCTTTGTTGCTGCCTCTATAAAACTTCACAACAATATGTTTCGTTGTATTATTCGTACTCCAATTTCTTTCCTGGATAACAATCCCAGTGGTAAGTAAAAAATACATTTATTAGTTTGATTATTATGTTAGTAATAATTTAACGTGTCAACGTATAATAAAACGTTCATACATTTATAAGTTTATACTCTACGTACGCTTAGCATAGGAGACTGAAAATATCTGTTGTTCTGGAAATTCTTCAAGATTAAACTTGAATTTCAAGAAATTTTACATTTTTAGTTGTCTGCATTACTTTGGTCTAGTTGAGAGCGGATTAATTCTTTAAATACTTTTAAGACTCAATATCATAATCACTCTTGAACTGGCATATGAATGCACAATGGTACAGTACATTACAATAGCAATGTGAGAATAAGAGGACATCGGGCCAGTACCCTAATTCCACTTATACGTCGTGTTGGAAAAACTCGCTCACTTTGTCTTTTGGATAGCTTTAAAGGAGTGGCGAGGGAATTGAACAAGTCGGCAGGTGTCTGTGTTTCAGAGTGACCGGAGACAGGTTTTTAACAGATCAACAATTTATAAATCTAAATTACAGGAGGTTATAGGAAGCTAGAGACGGTTAAATGCGGTTAAATATTAATGAAGTTCTATACAAAAAGGGTAGCTCTTAGCTAAACCTATTTCTGTTAGCTGTGGAGAGAGAGTTCTCAGATTGCTATGAAAAATACTTCTATGCGGGAAAGAACTGTATGCGAGGATCGGTCCAAAGGAAGAATCGTTGTCTTTGTCCGTTGTCTTCTCGGCAGAATCGGGGACTCTGAGAATAAATGTGCACTATTTCAAGTACAACTTACTTTCGATCGCTTCGAGCTTTTAATAACTCTCGCTTTTATACAATCGTCGTGGGATGGGAAATTCTTCGTCATCGTCAACATTTGACGATCACGAAGCATTTTTGATAGCTAAGTGTCACCTTTTCCAGTGAACTCCGATCTGACTCTCCGTTTTTTTCCAGGTTATTTACATTTCGAAAAAATCGATTAGCATTAATTTTAAGATCCCCTTAAAAAGTCCTCGGGGTCATAGTAAGAACCTTGGCACCTGACAGAATAGATAGCATAGTTAGAACACAACTTTGTATGCTTCCCTCTTATTAATGTCGTATGCATGTTAAGAACATTGATATAATGTATACACATCGTTCATTAATAAGCATGTTCCTTTGAATGATCTATGTATATATGTATAAAGATCTGTGTTTGCACATAGACTTACATCACTATGCATGAGACAAATAAAGATGTGTTAATTTACACATTTACATGTACATATGTTTACAGAAATAATAATAAATATACATTTATAAAAGTAATATGTCTGTTATCTCTAGTCAAAAATAACTAGAGATAAGAAACATATTACAATATAAGTTTTGCACATTACCTCCTTATATTACACAGCAATAAGTGGTTCTTTTCTATATATGTCGTACGTTTGACAAGATAGATACCGATTCGGTGTACAGATATTCGGCTTGAGTAATTATGAGGGGTTTATTCATAAAATTTCCAATATGGTCGCCTGGTCACTATGTCACACTTTAACAGCTGTATCATCAATCTAAAACAGTATCAGCCATTTGGCTCTTACTGACTGTGATACTAAATTCAAAGCTATTTTCGTTCATAATAATAATTAATTAAATAATTTTAATTTATATCTGAAATCTTTATATTTTCCAGGTAAAATCCTGAATAGATTTTCAAGAGATACAAATAGCATGGATGACTTGTTACCACTTGTTTTACACGAAGCTATCAGGGTAAGTTAAAATAAATAACAGATATTTTCAACTACTAAAATTACTAAATATGAACATATATGATTATGCTACATGATATAAAGAAAATTGGTTACAGTTATGCAAAATTAGTACTCATTTTACAAAAATTTTAGAATTTATTATTAAAGTTTCTAAATTGTTGTTTTAAAAAAACAAAATTTTTAATTTTTCAAAACCGTAAACATATCGACATTTTTTGTAATCAGAAATAAATTATTGGGAATTGTAAAACATTGTCATATCACTTTGTAGATTTTCTTCGTGTTCTTATTGAATACCACGTGTTACACACTATTATATTAATAACTTTACAGAGTTTCAATATTACATTGATTCTGATTAATCAGCAAGTCTTCTTTTGATTGGCACAAAACAAATTCTGAATCTATTTCTTACAGAGAAATTTGTCTTGTTATATCAACTATTTACTTGTAAAAATAACTGATAATTCAATATATAATATATTAAAAATTTAGTTTTTCTATATATCAATTTATTATATATTTTCAGGCAGTTAGTATGGTAATCGGAATAGTTGTTATTGAAGGAATTATTTGCCCTTATCTATTCATAGTGAAGGCCATAGTTTTAATGTCATTTTTTCTTATGTGGACGATCCATTGCCGTGTTTTGAAAAGCATAAAATATCTGGAAGGAAAATGTAAGTATTTTAAAATCAGTGTTGATATCATTAAAATTTCTCAATTCAGAGCAATTTGTTCGTGTAAATAATAAGCGGATTGACAAAAAACTTGTAAGAAAATATGAAAATGTTGCAGAAGGTGATTAAGCGAAAAAAAATTAGTTTTAAAATTTCTTATATGAGGCAATTTAGAGAAGAAAGCATGAAACAGAACAAAATAAATAACGAAGAACATCCTTCAAACGACAATTCAATCTGTTATTAAAAACAAAACAAATAAAGTCAGCGAAAAATATAACATCGTGGCTCTGCAAAAACATGACTAAAATGCACTGAATAAAATAACTTTCGGTGTTGTGCTGGAGTATTAAATATATTCCTACAGAAAATGATTTCAGATATATTGTATAATTACTTTGTTTTCACAGCGAGAAGTCCAGTATTTTCCCATCTGAGTGTATCCCTTTACGGACTTACAACAATCAGAGCATTTAATGTTAAAAATAAATTTATATCAACTTTTAACGAATACCAGGATAAGCACACTGCAACGTGGTTCATTTACGTAGCATTGAATCGATGGAATTGCACCTATTGTCAAATTATATGTTTTCTAAATCTTATTGCCACTATTGTAGTTTTATGTATTACAATGCCTTCAAGTAAGTGAAAATATTGAAATTTCTATGTTATGCACACGAAATATATTCTATGTTACGTAATAATATATTTCTTATCTTTAGTTGATGCGGGAAGCAAAATTGGGCTTATAATAAATTATGAATTAATTTTAATTTTGTATTTTCAATGGTGTATTTATCATTTGTCTGAAACAGAGTATCAGGTAAGTTTTATATTATTTTATATTAATTATTTATTTATTAACAATTAACACGAATTAGTAATTTAATATTTTTATAATTATTATTTTATATGAAATAACTTACATCAGTATTAGTTATTCAGTTTTCATTAAGAATGAATGATAATCTATAATACATAAGAATACCATTTACGTGTTTCTAACATTATTCATATACTATTATGCCACACGAATGGATTCGTCGCATAATACTTAATATAGGTAAAAGGAAATAAAATTACAATAAGTTAGATTAAGAACCAAAATGAAAGAATATAAATAAATAAACTTGGAATAGGAAAAAAAAATTAGTACTTGAAAATAAAGACAATTCTGAAAGACCAAATGATCCTGTTTAAATTTAACTTGATAATGTTATGCCTTAGAGTTTAAAATAAATAAAGTTTCACAAAATTTTCACATTATTTTTCAGATGAATTCCGTTGCACGTATACTGAATTACAGCGTATTAAAATCAGAAGCAGCTTACGAATCTTCTCCTGATGAACAACCTCCTGCCGATTGGCCTCAGAAAGGAGAAATTGAGTTTAAAAATGTTTCTTTAAAATATTCGAATGACAGAAGTATTGTTTTAAATAATTTGTCTTTTCTTATTAAGCCAGGAGAAAAGGTAAGTTAATTAACACATTTATTGCTTATAATTATTTTGAGCAATGTTGTATTTTTATGTTCGATTGTAGATAGGAATTGTTGGACGAACGGGAGCCGGAAAGAGTTCTATAGTTGCTAGTTTATTCCGTATGACAGAGCCAACAGGAATAATAACCGTGGACGGAATTGACACTAAAAATATTGGTCTTCGGGATCTACGTAGTAAAATCTCAATTATTCCTCAAGTAAGTTACAACAGAATTACAATTAGAAATTCTTTATTAGTTCGTAGAATTATTTAATTTTTGATGTTAAATGTTAGGTTTGCATTTTTATTTCTGTAAATACTGGTATAAATATAAATTGCAATAAATATCTTTTTACTCATAACTTAACACATGCCATGTCATCGTTCAATTTGGTTCAATATGTAATATATTTTATTTACCATAAAAAATTTTTGAACAATTTTTATATAAGGCAATAATGCAGTTTTCCTGTGATCGGGTTGTTACAACAGACTGCCTAGCAACCATAATGTTTGAATTAGAAATTTGCGTAAAATGACACAGAAATCTTTTACCAGTAGAGCGTGACTACTGGGATTACTGCTTGGGAAATCCACAGATTTTTAACTGTTTTCATGCTTCGGTGAAGACAGTACGTAAATTCTAACCAATCCAAACAAGCAATAAAATTTTGAGAATGCTCTGCGTTGCCCAATAAGAAAAATTTTATGTTTAATTTTTTTCTTCTGGGAAGAGATTGTCAATACCAAATAATACTATAACTGAACGGCAGTAAAAGATTCCACACATCCTCACTCGTTAACACCTATACGAAAAGTAAAAACGCGTAATAGTTCGTGAAGATGTCAGTACAGCTGACTTTATAAAGAAAATTTTCGGAAGTAATAAATACGATGATAACGATACTAACCAAGCATGAAAACACAAAGTGTGGAGACCACTGACTTCTTCCAAAACTCATGGCTTGATTAATTGGGAATTTTTACCCATTAGTACGAGAATTAAGTTATAATTCTACTTTCATTTCCTGGTTGTACTGTAGATTTGTATACTACGTTACATACATTGTTTTTAAAACAATTTCACTGAAGTTGAAGATACGCGGTATAATCTAAACAGAAAAATACATAAAATAAAAAATTTACGATAAATATATTACTATAATAAATATTCATATCAACTATTATTGCCCCTGGTTTGCTTTTGTCATTGGTTATTGCCAAATGTTTTCTATTTCTGTTACATAGGTTAATAAGTTCTGTTATAGTAGGTTGGTTATATTACAATTACAGTCGACCCCCTTATAATTACGGTCCCTATAATTACGATTCCTATAAAACTACGAAAAAATATACGTATTTTGGAAATGTTGAGTCGGATTAATGTAGAATCGATTAATTTTATGGAAGAAAACCTTTCAATCAGCCGTAGTCCGTAAACTTNAAAATGAAAGAATATAAATAAATAAACTTGGAATAGGAAAAAAAAATTAGTACTTGAAAATAAAGACAATTCTGAAAGACCAAATGATCCTGTTTAAATTTAACTTGATAATGTTATGCCTTAGAGTTTAAAATAAATAAAGTTTCACAAAATTTTCACATTATTTTTCAGATGAATTCCGTTGCACGTATACTGAATTACAGCGTATTAAAATCAGAAGCAGCTTACGAATCTTCTCCTGATGAACAACCTCCTGCCGATTGGCCTCAGAAAGGAGAAATTGAGTTTAAAAATGTTTCTTTAAAATATTCGAATGACAGAAGTATTGTTTTAAATAATTTGTCTTTTCTTATTAAGCCAGGAGAAAAGGTAAGTTAATTAACACATTTATTGCTTATAATTATTTTGAGCAATGTTGTATTTTTATGTTCGATTGTAGATAGGAATTGTTGGACGAACGGGAGCCGGAAAGAGTTCTATAGTTGCTAGTTTATTCCGTATGACAGAGCCAACAGGAACTATAACCATAGATGGAATCGACACTAAAAATATTGGTCTTCGGGATCTACGTAGTAAAATCTCAATTATTCCTCAAGTAAGTTACAACAGAATTACAAAAATTCTTTATTAGTTCGTAGAATTATTTAATTTTTGATGTTAAATGTTAGGTTAGCATTTTTATTGCTATAAATACTGGTAAAAATATAAATTACAATAAATATCTTTTCACTTATAACTTAACACCTGCCATGTCATCGTTCGGTTTGGTTGCGTATGTAATATTTTTTTTTTTTCCAGAATAAATTGTTGAACAATTTTGATATAAGAAAATAATGGAATTTCCTTGTTATCGGGCTGTTACAACAGATTGCCTAGCAACCATCATGTTTGAATTAGAAATTTGCATAAAATGACACAAAACCTTTTACAAGTAGAGCGTGACTACTGGGATTACTGCTTGGGAAATCCACAGATTTTTAACTGTTTTGATGCTTCGGTGAAGACAATACGTAAATTCTAATCAATCCAAACAAGCAATAAAATTTTGAGATTGCTCTGCGTTGCCCAATAAGAAAAATTTTATGTTTAATTTTTTTCTTCTGGGAAGAGATTGTCAATACCAAATAATACTATAACTGAACGGCAGTAAAAGATTCCACACATCCTCACTCGTTAACACCTATACGAAAAGTAAAAACGCGTAATAGTTCGTGAAGATGTCAGTACAGCTGACTTTATAAAGAAAATTTTCGGAAGTAATAAATACGATGATAACGATACTAACCAAGCATGAAAACACAAAGTGTGGAGACCACTGACTTCTTCCAAAACTCATGGCTTGATTAATTGGGAATTTTTACCCATTAGTACGAGAATTAAGTTATAATTCTACTTTCATTTCCTGGTTGTACTGTAGATTTGTATACTACGTTACATACATTGTTTTTAAAACAATTTCACTGAAGTTGAAGATACGCGGTATAATCTAAACAGAAAAATACATAAAATAAAAAATTTACGATAAATATATTACTATAATAAATATTCATATCAACTATTATTGCCCCTGGTTTGCTTTTGTCATTGGTTATTGCCAAATGTTTTCTATTTCTGTTACATAGGTTAATAAGTTCTGTTATAGTAGGTTGGTTATATTACAATTACAGTCGACCCCCTTATAATTACGGTCCCTATAATTACGATTCCTATAAAACTACGAAAAAATATACGTATTTTGGAAATGTTGAGTCGGATTAATGTAGAATCGATTAATTTTATGGAAGAAAACCTTTCAATCAGCCGTAGTCCGTAAACTTGACACGTGTCGGGCTGTGATTGGAACGACTTGTAAGAAATCGGATTCCTAATAAATTGGAACGTATCTATATCTTATAGGGGGG